CCCCCCCCCCCCCCCCCCTTTTCTGTCTCTCTCTCTCTTTCTCAAACCGATTGTGATCTTTCTTCGGCTAGCCACCCCCCCTTCTTTCACTTTATACACTCATCTTACATATGCAAATCGAAAAAATGACTAGATGTGACTGGCAGAACACAAAATTAAGTAGCAAAAAAACAAAAAAAATATCATCATAATTGGCTAAAAATAACAAGAATAGGTGCAGGTGTACATATATCGGGGGCTCTCTTCACTTTGGAAAACATAGTATGTTTGTGTCGCGCCCCCTTGTCTCCCTCTCCTCATTATCTTCCTTAACAAGAAGCATTTTTACTGTGCACTCTATCACGTAGTGCCTCATCTGCCCGCACCCCAGCTTCCACTTATTGTTCTTGGAGGAGCTCCCTGATGCTGCTTTTGCTTTAAATGTATATACACATTCACACAAAAACACAAGTTGAAGAAAATTTCATACTCTTTCCTATAGATTGGCATAAATTTCAACACCCATTGTATTAGCTGAAATTTTGCCAATCACCCCCTATCAGGGTTTGTTTGTGAAGAGAACTAATGGAAATGTGGTTTTACATATTCATGTGGATATTATGTGTGCATATAATTGGTATATATAGAGATCCACCCAATAAACCCATAATTGATCACTCCCATCGCCAACTACTTACTCCACCCTTGTTCATCCCTGACCATACCCTCGCCCCCAAACCTGTCATTCCATATTTCACCCTTCGATGACCACACCAATTAGAGGGAGGGAGGTGCCAATGACAATCCATATTGTGGCTTGCTTCTCTTCGATGATGACTGTCGAGCTCATACAGTTGAGTGAAGTCTCCGGGATCTTCTTTGATGATGACAATGGAGATTTTAACACTTCCTAGCGCTTTATTTTTTCAATTTTGATCCTTGTCTTCAATTTCTTCAACTAGACTATGAAACGTCTTGGATACAAAAATAGCAACCTCACAATCATTCAAGGTCAAGGTTGAATAACCCGTGTGATGTTCAGCTCCAGTCACGATCACAGTATAAATGAGTCTTAACACAAAAATGCGGAGTAAACCAAGATACCCATATATCAAATGGTATGCATTTTCTTGATTTATTAGTGTTTGAACTCAATCATTGAAATAGTGACTTCCATAGTTGTTAGTGTCATACGATACGCGATACGTATCGTAGGATACGTCACGGTATAGGGCCAAAACGATATGGATCGTAGTTTTGTATCGTTTTTGCGTTGTAACGTCCGATACACTACGTTTTTACGATACGAACGATACGCAAATTCCCAGTTTAAATTTTTTTTTTTTTCGTTGACAGCCTGATTTGCACCAAATCAGTTCGATTCGCACCAAATCAGTTCGATTTACACCAAATCGTTGGTTGCAAAAACAGAGATGAAGACAACAGAGATGAAGAAACCCAAGCTCACAAATCAGAGAATAGAGAAAATGCCAAAAAAAAAGGCAATAGAGATGAAGAAGACAAGAATTGTCAAGCAACAAATCAGCAAAAATATCCAAGTAAAAGCAAATCAAACAAATTTTTGAAATTGAAAAAAATAACAACACTAATCTGGATGAAACCCTAGGTCTCACGATCTCTCTCTTCATCGCTGTGAGCTACAACCACGAGTACCAGCCACCAGGTATGTTCTTCTTCTTCTTCTCTCTCTCCGGCACCAGCATCGCGATCGCCATCGCCTTCGCTTGTCACCTCTCGCCTCTTCTCTCTCTGTCTCGTTTCGTTCGTGGGTCACAGACTCACGACTGTGTTGGTTTGTTATAAGTATGAAAATTATATTTTATACCCCATTATATTATAACTTTTTACTTTTAAGTATATATAAGTACCATTAATCTAATTTGATACCCTTAATTATTTTTTAATATTAATAAATTATATTGGTGACTTGAATAATATATGGAATATTAATGAAATGTTATGTTTTTTTTTCAAAAATATATATATATATATTATTATTAATTATTTAAAATTGCGCCGTATCTTACGATACACAATACGATACGATACACTATTTTTAAAAAACGATACATCTTCCGTTACATGATTTGATAATTATGGTGACTTCTACTAGAGCAACACACAATATTCATCGGATTGTGAGCGAGAGGTGAGGCTGATTCAGTTTGAGTTGCGATCTTGGTTTTATGTTTAACAACCTTGTAGTTTTGGTTGATTGGAATTTGTATGAATTTACATCATAGATTCTCAGCCACAACAAAAACATGGTGCGAACATTGTAATCTAGGTTGTAGCCGAAGGAAGGAGATGGGCTGGTTTTGCAGAGATCCGAATTGATTCCATCCCTGAATTGATTCCATGTAATTGGAGTGGTGATTTGGTACAATTGGATGCAAATAAGGTTTAGATTCTAAAGGAATTTGGCTGTTTTTTGAATATATTTCTCTGCATTGGAGGAATTTGGCTGTTTTTCTGATATTTATCTGTATTGGAGGAATCTGGCAGTTTTCTGATATTTGTTTGACTAGGAGGATTGATTGGTAGTGCGATGGTTCAATGTATGGCTTAAATTGGGATAATTTCTTACGAATTTTCTTATTTTTTTCTGATTTTCTGATTGTTGTCAATTGAATTGGAATTGTAGAACTTATATCTTGTGGTCATGGTGTTTTAATTATGAGCAAGTGGCAGTGGTGGTTGAGGGTAGTTTTTTAGAAAATAAGTATGACATCATCATTTTGTAGTCTGTCAGTTATTGTTATTCAGGGAAAGGGGTCTGGATGAAGTCGATATAAGTGTAGTGAATGCCCTTGAAGATGGGGCAATCTACTTGGCTGTATCTATATATATATATATATAGAAATATTTGGTGCAAGAGAAGAAACAAATTTTATCTTAGAAGAAACCTTTTCTCACTTTTGCAAGTGGTTACATTTTTTTTAGATATGTTCACTTCCTGTATTAAACTCTTTGCTTGGCTGTAGCTCGTGACAGAAAACAATTTATTTACCATGGGTTTCATGAATCCAAAACTGTTTCTTGATGGGCTTGCCAATGTCCGTCCAATTGTTCTGTTGTAGTTAACTAATAATTCAAAGCAATCAACTGCTAGATAGATCTGGTTTAGCCATGCACACATTATCTTTTTATGACATCCCCATAGGTGCTGATGGTGCCATCACTATGGTTAAGAGCTGGTTTTGTCAATGAATTTTTTTCAATTATGTGTTTTATGAGAGGGAGAGGATGGTGGAAAGAGGGAGATCTGGTTTTTGGAGGAGAGTGAGAGGCAGAGACAGAAAGGGACATGCAGGGAATCGTGGAGGGATGAGATCAGCATTTTGGAGGAGGGTGAGAGACAGAGAGGAAGGGACAGGTGGAGAGTGAGAGGAGAAATCAGGAGTTTTATATGCATACAAAATATAAAAATGATTTTATTGAGCCTATAAAACTAATATTGACTACTGCAGGTCTGCAGCACATCCATTTTACAATGAAAGAGCTCAAGGCCTGCAAGCAGTTTGGGTTCGGCTTGTATACAAAAGTACCTTGAATAATTTTGCATATTTGGTTCATATTATTTTATGTGCGAGCTTGTACGCACCAATATCGAGTCGAGTCCGGTCCGAGCTCGAGCTACTCGGTTCGTTCAATCCCCAGTCGCGTACTTATGCAATTCTTAAACAGTTGTTATTAATCTTTCTCCAAATATGCATTCTAAGACACCCTAAGTAGGTTTAAGTTACCATTAGCCTTTTGAATGTTATGTTATGTGCATTATTAAGTCATTCTCCTTTTATTTTCCCCCTTGCTTGCAGCTTCTCAACATTATTTCACCCAAACACTTGGAATTCTCTTTCTCAAACTTATATCTCTTTTTAATTTTCCAGACCTAATTTTCAGATTTTGAGTAAGAGTCGTGTAAAATAACCAGATACATAAATTTTTCTTTAACCTACAGTTGTCGAGCTCATCCTTTTCAGCTTACAAACTTAATTTGCTGGAGGTTTGGTTTGCAGGAATAAATGGTTGCTCAAGTTGAGCGCTAATCAAGAAATTCGTTGTGAATAAGTTACTTGTCTTAGAGTATATCAAGCTTAAAAGGCAAAGCTGAGAAATAGCTATGAACAATCCTTTTTTGAAGTACTTGGCAGCTGCAGCTGAATTTTACAAATTTTGAGAAATTGAACTCTCTCGCGCTCGCGTTCACTACCCCACACACACTATCAATGAAATTATCACTTTTTGCATTCTTGTGTCGTGTTACATAAACTGAGTAGTCCTACTTTGTTTAATATTGGATCAATATCCTTCATTCAAGCTCATAAATCCTGTTATCAATCAGATGTGCAGATATCTGT